TATCATTATGATAGAAGTTGCCGGTGTCCTAGAAGGTAGCATTTGAATTAAGGCTGCAAGTAACGGCAAAACTGATGATGATATTAATGAAGTGATTCAGGATGATGGACCACTTGATGGTCATTCAGCGAGGCAGTCACTCAGTGATGCTGAGACTAGCTTAGTATTTCCGCATGGATCAATGAATACAGTCAACATAGAGAGCGAACTGAATGAAGAAGAACCCGTAAGTAGCAATAAGGTTTTACAAGAGCACGTTTCTGCCCTATGCTTGTTTCTTCAATGAAATTTCAAAAGCATACCAAACGTAGACTATGGAAGAAAGAAGACATATAATGGGATCACAGACTTAACGACAATGGTTTGAATGTGTGGCTAATTTTTTAAAGTAGGATCATACATCCCTGATAAGTCCGTTATAGAGCACATGATAAGGCAGGTAATTGATTACACCCGTTCAAAAGTGACCACTCATTCAGTATACCTACAACTGAAATGTATGCTTTTAGAGCTATTTTGTTTATCAGTGGCTCTAACACATTACCACGAAGGCACATGTGTCGTGATTCTTAACAAAATATCCACAATACAGCCATCAGTCAGACAACGAATCAGAACAGATTTGACACAATTATGAAGCATCTCCATCTGAAAAGCAATGACAATTTCCAAGTAGCTGACAAACTTATAAAAGTTAGACCACTTCGTAACCTTCTCAATGAAATATTTATGAAATGCTTCCTCTACGGACGAAACTCTGTGCGTGGATGAAAAAAGCAAACGGTCCCACTGAACGGAAGTAATGTATCATAGGAAAGCCCATTAGAATGGGGTATAAATAATGGGTCCTTGTAACACATCTAGGCTATGTTGTCTACCACGGAGCTCAGGTCAAATATACAAACCAGGTTTGGGATATTGCAGTGTTATGATCCTAATCGATAAGTTCCCGAAGGGGCGACCCTATCACATATTTGTTGACAATTAGTTAGCAGGCTTACCTCTCATGAAAGCCTCAAGCAGCAAAAGAACAGTAGCAACGGGGAAAGTTCGAGAAACTAGAATAGACAATTGCTCAATGGACACGAAGGCCCTAGGAAAACTAAACAAAGGTACTTATGCGTTTGACAGATGAGATGTTCGTTTTGTATGGGAATGATAACTCCGTCGACTCTTGTCAGCAACTCGGTTGTTGTATATCCTTTGCTAAAAGCAAAGAGGTTTTCGACGAATAAGAAAAAGCCCTTACTTATTAAACAATATGGTGTCGTTAGCAAGTGTAACACTTCGATCGGAGGATTGAATCGATTGGACCTAAATGTCGGTCGATTTAGAATCAATTTCTGCAACAAAGAGTTATGGTAGTCATTATCCGCTTTTCTTTCTGATATTGCAATGAACAATGCCTGACATTTGTAGAGAAATCGCCTACACATGAGTAAGAGCAGCATGACATGCTTTCCATCAAGAGCTGGCGTGAAAGTCGACTAGTAAGTGTGTCTAGCAGACATAAAGTCGCACAAAATATGCTTACACCCAGAAGCAAACGAGGGAAGAGAAAAAAGAATCAGGAAATCCTGCTCTGGCCACCATTTGCAATCAATGACAAAGCAAGGAAGATACCGTCCTACGGAAAAAAGGCCCAGAGTGCGATGTGTCACTACACAGAGCTTGCTCTGCAGCATACTCCGCGTGAACAATGGAACAAATTTTTGTGTAAATGAGGGCAAGATATACTTTTGTAGTGAAAAACTGTCTGTTGTAGTATACCTTAGAAAAAACTAATGAACACTATCATTTGAAGTTTGTAAACAATAGTGTTTTTGCTCACAAAACGTGATCTCACGTTTTCTCCTAAGTTCTCTACATCACCGTATCAACTGTTGTTGGTGTCCTTAAAAAGGACAATTGGGAAAATGTTCATATTTTCTATAATAATCCAAATTTTAAAAATCAAACTCGTGTGAGTGATTTGCGCAATTTTCTATGAAAGGTAAACATGGAGCAAATCTAAAGCGTCAGCAGAAAATGGGTTAATAAAGAATTGCTCGCAAAATGAAGACCAAAGGTGTTCGGCAACAAATGTGGTAGAAAGCGCTACAGTGCAAACGAAACCGCGTTAACATGCAGGGAAGTGATGAAAGTCAAGTCAAGATAAGCTTTATGCACCCGGATGAGTGCATTTTCAGTATTTTACACTATCTACCACAAATGCGGCAAAATAGCATCAATAAATGAGAATTTTGCAGATGCAAAAACAGATTGGGAAAAGAGTGCATATACGTCGTTTGATCAATCGTACCATGACTATGCTGCCGAATGGTCTGCACGTTCGGTTTGCAAACATAAGGTCACCGGTTCGAATCCGCGTAGGGGTGGGCGTCCTCGCGGTCTACTCAGCCCGCACACGACTGGTGGTGGTCGCGCGGCAGCGAGGCGCCGTTACGGCGTACAGCTGACACATTATCATTATTATTCAAAATTATAAACGTGGCATTCCTGGTCCTAAGGGTGTATGTGATTCTCGGAGTGACTTGAAAACAAGAAAATTGATCAGGAAATTCAAAGAATTTTCATTAATGTTACAGTTGCACGACTCCATTGCCCGTATCATGCGTTCACAAATGTGGCGGATTAATAAGGAGGAGAACGCCTTGCGGATGAGATGCAAAGAAAAGGAGCTGACAAAATTACTCCGTCATAGAACTAAGGATCGGACGTCTTTGATCACGGAACTGATCGATGACCAGGATCGCCCCTTTAACGACCCACCTGCTTTTTGTGAAGCGTTTAGTTCCTTTTCCACTGCATCAATGAACGTAGAAACTGACGCTATACCTTGGTGCCAGGAACTGACAACAACAAGCGTCATAGATGACAGGATTTTTCTTACGGCAATCCAACAGATAATGAAGTCCATCAAACTATTGCTCAAACTATATCCCGATTGCATTCCCTAACAGTCAGTAAATTTGGTGAACCTGACATATCACTTCATTTGCTGAACATGTTCATGTCGTCCCTTACTTTCTGTATAAGTGGGAAACATCGTTTATAATCCCTTGTCATAAAGGGGGGGGCCCAAACAGATCGTCACTAATTATCGACCTATCCACCATACTCCGGTCATCACTAGACTACTCGAAAAATTAAGCAAACGTGGAATCACAGACTTTATCCATCGTCATGGACTGCTTAACAAATACCAGTATGGGTTCCTCGATAAACTTTCCTGTACAACTCATCAGTTGCAGTGTCTGGATTACATCACAGAATCCACTGATTCCAATTGTGCAGTTATACTGTTGCTCCTGAATATGCAAAGTTTTTGACCGGATTTCTCCCAGGCAGCTACTACAAAATTGAGTCATTTGGAATTAGAGACCCACTACTGGGTTGGTTGGGATCGTACCTGAATTAGTGTTACCAGATAATCACTCTGAGTAAACATAACTCTTCTCCACATTCAATCATTAGTGGTGTCACTCAAGGGGGTTTACTGGTCCTTCTCTTTTCCTACCCTAAATTAACGATATCATGATGTTCATCAAACATGGCAGGTCATTTTCGTTCGCCGAGGACATTAAAATTGTGCATGAATTTCGATGAGACGAGCTCCAGTGTAGCGTTACTCATTCAGGAAGATTTCGATTCACTTGAGAAATGATGCGACACATGGATAATAAAGTTCATAGTTAGGAAATCATGCATTATGTCACATGGATGTTTGATTCCTGAAGAGTCTGTAAAACGGAACAATCAACGCATCTGTGTGAAACAGTCTAATTGTGATCTAGGCATATGATGCTCTTCAAAGTTCAATTTTTCGGAGCAAGCTGAGGATCAAATAACGCGCCAAACGATCGATGACCAACATATGCCGTATAACCTATCCAATCCCTGTCAGAGTAGAGCTTGTCAAAATACACACACTTCCTCTCCTTAAATAGTGAAGAATCGTCTATGAAAACTTGCGTATGGGTGACAGGAAAGCTTTGGAAAATTTGCAAAGATCATTAACTAAACGTTTCTTCAGTAAATCGTTCATCTTATGCTATCAGGAGCGTTGACAGCAGCTTAAGCACGAGTCCCCTTGGTCGCGACGACTGAAACATATCCTAAAGCTGGTACAGAATCTCATAAATCAAAAGACATACTCAAATCTATGCACACTAAAATTGCAACATAACTTTACCTGGAAACTACACAAGATTTGTAAACTAATAGTACCAAGAAGCATGACAGCTATCCGATCCATTTCTTCCTCGTTAGATATGCTGTCGTGTAGAATAGCCTGTTAGTCACTTTCAGGTCTTGCACAAATGCAAGAACATTCCGCATTCAACTTAAAAATTTCCCGGACCAGAACTCGATAATGACCATGTTCCCATCGGATAAATCACTAAATGAGTTCTTACAGGATGGACCAAGAAATATATAACCGCACACAAAAGTCAGCAACAACAAAAGTAATGTGATACAAAATGTTTTGAGGTTAAAAGACCCCGAATACCTATCTCAATCATGCATGAGCATGATCATTATTGTACTCATGAACTGTCCCCAAGTCAAGGACAGTTTCTCGCACAATCGAAAGCCCGATAACTTACGGGAGCAATGAAAACACAGCTGTAGGGTAGAAACACACAATTGTGAAATAAGCTACCTGTAGAAAACTGCGTGGTCGTAATCCCGACTGCAAAAATGGGGGATAGAAATGCAAATTACTAATAAACTCAAATAAAAGGAAATTGCCGCTAACGAGCTCAGGATATGCGATGGTCATTAAATTGGTCCCATATATAATGAGACTATTTGGAAACTTTAACGGGTTTGTACGGTCGGCCATGCGTCCAAATAACGAGCAAGGAAGTCAGTGAACCACCTTGTCATTTGGCCGGTGAGATAACATGTGGAAGTACACAGCCTGAAAACCACAATAAGAACCAAAAGGAAGGAAATTGATCGAAATGGAAACTGAGGAAATCGACCAAACTCACGTTCGTTCGTAAACAGGCTGCATGAAGCAGGTCCCGCAAAGACGCGTGATTAATGTAAGAAAAATAATCCGGTTGTGAGGGACGAGTTTCGGGTGCATCAGTGATTGCGTGAACGTGAGATGAAGCCAACCAAACTAGGCTATCGTTTGGGTCTGATCCTTGAAAGTGTGACAGTAGTGAGGTCGCAAACTATGTTGGAAGGAAGTAGGTGGTGCGACGTTCAGGTAGTTAGGTAGGAAAACAAGGAGCATATTTGTTAAGATTATCCGCATATAGCACGTAGACTAGCGCCAATGAGGTCTACATAAGAAGAGTACCGAAGCCAATAACCGGCATGCATAACTGGATCATCTAATTAAAGTGCCAGATTAGGAACGCTATCAAGTATGACAATTGAGAGAATCCAAGGAAACTGAGAGTTTAGAGCATAAACCAATGTACAATAATCCACATCAACCCGCAACACCGGTGAATAGACAAAACGGACAAAAAACCGGCTTAAGATAGATGGCTGCCCTAAAGGCAAAGGAATCGCTCGATGGTTGGGGTCTAGTTGGGTTATGTTTGCCAGATATTATCCCCGTACTGAAGTGCAATAGATCTACCACATACTTTGAGTTGCACATATAAAAGAACCACAACAATAGGAGCGGTGGAAGGCAAATAGACAATAAATAACATTAACAAGCGGAAGAGTCAAGAGTTAACAGTGACCTAGCTTCACAGTGGTGAGGTGGTAAGGCTAGATTAGGTACACTAAGATTCAGCACACCGAGAAGGCAAGTTTAATGACGTAATTTGGCCAGTTGTCAGGCTATTTAAGTGTAGTATACCTCGCAGTCGAAGTATAACATAATATCGTTCAAGTAAACAATATCCACGGCGAAGTGCAGTGGACAACCGAGAGCGAAGTCTGGCGTAGGGTGTGTTAAAGTGCAAACGAAAATAAACTGTCTTGCAAGCGGTAACATTAGTAAACGCAACCGAAATAAAACACAAAAAGAGAATGGGGTACTTGAGGTGGAAAATGTCAAAAGTAATGAGCTGTCAGTGATCGATGAACGCGAGCAACATGGACAAACCTATTACCTGAGTTCGCCCTTGATGCCACAGGCGCAAAGCCAAACTGATCCCCGCTGAGGTATTCTGAGATTAAAAAGAAACCAAAGAAAAGGAGGTGGCCAGCTGCAATAATGTATGGTTGATTGGTGCCTAAACATAAGCGTATGGAAATCGACAGCATTTAGGGTATAAGAGGGCAATATTGTGCGACTCAGTATCCGTTTAGTCCTCGGTCAGTAGCAGAAAAACTTGTCTCATCAGAAGAAAGGTGTAAAAAATGACTGGGTGGTGTACCTGTAAGCAAATATATATATATATATATATATATATATATATCGACAAAGTGCCGACAGAACCATAACAAAAAGAGAGACAATGTGTACGAAAGAGAAAAAAGGTAGTTCTTTTTTGGGTTTCACACACGTCGCTGAGTATTTTTTATTTTTTATATGCCAGAGATCAAGCAACTGAAAAAACGTCAAAACAACACTGGCGCCATTGAGGTCTGTTACGTGCCATCACACCCTGGCAGTATCCGTAGCCTACGTGCAGCTGGTGGTAGCTGACCGGCAGTGAAGCGTCGAAACTGCATACCGGTATACTGCTGATGCTGACCACAGGAGTCCCAAGTCACGTGGTCCCCAGTTTGGGAGACGCGCTAATCCGATTGATGCTAGACTTGAGGAAGCTTTCTTCATGCTACTTTACGACACATCAATGTGAAGAAGTCAAGCAAAAAACTTTATGCTACGGGTCCCGTCTGGTAGGTAACACACGGAACAAACCCACATGTAGGTTAGGACAAATAAGCAAATGCCTGCCTGCCCAAATGATACGTCCATAGGAACACTCACCTTAGGATTGGTAAGAAGTGATTGGCACAAGCAGTAGGTCATGTGCTCTTCGTAGTCCGCTGAAACAGTGGACAGGTCGGAAAAACATAGGATAACTTGTGGTAGCTTTCGAATAAAAATGCAGGTGAAGTAAAACTGTTGATACCCGCAGGTAACATAGTGTAGTCGGAAAGGAAGTAACGAAGTAGTAAAAGTAGTATATGACAATTTTGGAAAACCAAGCAGTGTTGATAAGAAAGCGCGATATCAGGAGAAAGTGGTGTACAGTGACATGACAATCACATCTGGTAACTGAGCCAAGCAGCCAATCGTAATTGTTCAGCTGCTACCCATTGACAGTGTATGTTTTTATCAAACAAACTACGTCGAAGACCAAATAATCGTCGGTGGGTAACAAGCTTGATGAAGAACACGAGTCACACGGCGAATGCGCCGTGTGGGTGGGTTGTCAATCGAGCCGGGATTCACATTTACATACGGCAGAACACGAACCTTCATATCCAACATATTTGTGATCGCATTCTATATTTAGTTTTGATTCTAGGAGGAATAGTGACAGAAGTAAGATTCGGACCCACACCTTTTCGGAGCATGGATCGACAGCCAGATACGAGAAAATATCTCGAACCAGCTAGCACGCAGCACAAGCCAACTGCAACAGCCGAAGAAAACCCGTTGAAGTCCCGGAGTGGCCTTTGTAAAAGGTTGCTTTGAACATCTTCACTAATGTGGGGCAGAATTATTTAATTACAGCTGACTGATAAAAAGAATACTTTGAGATGGACGCCCTTCTACGAGCACCGCGTAAACCGTCGTCAACAGCTACAATGCCACCTCGCTCGGCATGAAGTAGGCTGGATTGCCGAACTACCTCCTTTTGGTGCCAGCTGGGTGGTCCAGGTGTACCGCGTTCCAGCGCAGTGTTCGGTGACAGTGCTCCACTTCGGTGGGACATAGTAGTTCAGCAAATGTGCTGATTTCATGGGGAGTATTGCGCCCCTGTTTGGTGATCTATCAAACGAAAGACGCATGAACTGAACATTCAGTCAGCGACTCCCAATGGGCGCGATTCCCTGAATTCGCCCCGCTGCCTTGTGAGTAGCTTACGTAGCCAAAGGCTCGAAGTGGGGTCCCTTAAGTCAACTCCCTACTTCGGCTTGGGCAACCCAGTAGTATCACAGCCTCTCACAAAACCATGGACTGCACTACAACGTGTACATCAGCTATTGTTTCTGCTTCTCACATGCACGCGACTTCATCACACGACAATTGTTCGTTTGCTAACAATCCTCACTTGCTATTACCCGATTAATGTGTTTAAAAATCTGACTGTGGTTCCCGTTGCGCCGTGAACCATGGAGTTCAACCTATGGCTCTCCTTCGTCCCCGATCCACGTTCAGTCTGGCGTGCTTCAACATTCGGACACTCGTGCAGATTGGACAGCAAGCCGGTCTAGCGCGCACCCTACAGTCACTCGATAGTGATGCTTGCTGCCTTTCAGAAACCCAATTGCAAGATTCTAACATTGTGCTTACACTGACACCCCCCCACTGACCACGAAGCCAGATATCACCTGCGTATTTCTGGAGATCCAGAAGCAGTCTCAGCGGGTTTGGCTGGTGTAAGTATAGTAGTAAGCGTCAAGGCCGAGGCGGCACCACTGGACTGGTTCTCGATTCATAGACAACTGTGCAGTTCCATCGCAATGAGGCTGGATCTTACCGTGGTGCGATGGTTTGTGTGCCTCAGCGATCCATTGAGCTATGCTGGGTGGTGCTTTTGCACCTTCAGAGTCACTCATACCAGATTGGTCAATGGTTAGAGGCCAGACAAACTCAGCCTCCTGGTCCTCCAGGTTGGGGGTTGGAATGAGGGTGGCACCTTATTCCTTAAAATGGACTCCTTGTAGCCCAACGCCAAACCCACTGCCTTGCGGTCAGGTTTTTGAACCAAAGGCTTTGGTTGAGAACCCTAATCGTTCTCCTGTCTAGGTCTGGGCAACCGGACAGTATCCTGTCCACGCAATACCATGAATATTATCTCAAACAAATTGCTGACGCTCTGGTCACCGCAGAGAATAATCAACGGTGCCCTATCTGCTGCATCGAGCAGGGTGGATAGGGGTTTGGATGCTACTGCTCAAGCCTTCCCGTCTTCTTATTCCCCATCTTACGCTTTTTCACTCTTACCGTCCCATTCCAACTTCACTTATATCCCCCTGTTTTCAACCCCCCGATTCTTGGCCCTCCCCCAACATGCTTTGCTAGGCATTTATCTTCTAATTTCAACTCACACGTGAACGCGGAGCGTCACTCCTCTGCTGTCGACAAGCCCATGTCCAACCAAGCGGTCCATTCCAGTTCATCGGCTTCCATTTGGAGCCCTCGATCCTCCTTCAGATTGGCATGCCTTAATGTACGCACACTACTACAAATCGGTCAACAGGCAGCACTTGCCCGAACATTGGAGACCCTCTCGATCGATATCTGCTGTTTATCAGAGACCCGCCTGCAAGACTCGAGCTCTGTGCTCACTCTGCGATCCCCTCAGGTGACGCAAGCAGTATTTTCTCCTTGCGCCTATCCGGTGACGATGCAGCTTCGAGCACCGGCCAAGCTGGTGTTGGCATTGCCCTGAGTCCCCGGGCTGAAGCTGCTCTGGTTGACTGGATTCCAATCAGTAGCCGGATGTGTGCGGTCCGATTGGCTGGCTCGTTCAAAGCTTCGAAGTCGCGCGGGACTACTAGGTGTCTATTCATCATCGCTGCCTACGCGCCCAAAAACTGTAGCGATGATTCGGTAAAGAACGACTTCTACCGCCAACTGACTCAGCTCCTTCGCCACAGAAGAAGCACGGACACTGTTGTGCTGGCGGGGGATATGAACGCACAAGTTGGAAAGTTGTCCACTGATGAAATCCATCTGGGCGGTCAGCACGATGTAGGCTCCCGTAATGATAACGGTGAGCGGTTATTTCATTTGTGTGAAGATACTCGCTTATTTCTTGCGAGCACTAACTTCCGACACAGCACCCGCCGGAGGGTGATTTGGCGCCCACCAGCCTCGAACCAGCCTTGGACGCAGATCGATCACATTGCTATTAGTTACCGCTGGAGAGGCTGCATCCAGAATCGTCGCTCGGTTTGGAGCACATGTGTGGACACCGATCATGCACTTGTATGTGCTGACGTGCAGATGCGCTTTGGCGGAAGCCCACGACGACGCTGTGAGCGCATTGACACCAGCCAACTGACAAAGCCAGCTGTTCTGAATGCGTATCAAAGTACGCTGACATGCGAGTTGAGCAATCGCTCACTGGAGACAATTGATGGTCACTGGTCACATGTTCGCCAGACCTTACTAGCAGCAGGCAAATCCTCATGTGGTATGTCTAATAGCCAACATGGACATTGGGTCTCTTCTCGGTCTCTGGAACTTATCGACGCTCGCCGGCAAATCCAGGCTGGAAGCGAGCACAATGAAACTCGCAAAGAGCTCCGGGCAAAACTCCGTGCTAGCCTGAAGAGAGACCGCGAATCTTGGTGGTCTCATCGTGCGTCAGAGATGGAAGTGGCCGCTGTCCTTGGCAACCATCGTAAGTTATTCCGTCTGATACGGGAAACGGGCAGCAAGAGGCCTGGTGTTAGTGAAGCAATTTGTGCTGAGAGTGGACAGCCTATCCACAATTTGTCAAAACGTTTGGAACGTTGGGCTGAACATTTTGAAAAGCAATTTAATCGGCAAGAATTGTTCGATTCTTCGCCGGCGAGTGATCGCCCTGCTCCGTGGGCTGTTCCTTTGGATCCACCCTCTCGCTCAGAAGTCGAACGAGAGATCGGACTGTTGAAGTTGAACAAAGCCGCGGGACCAGATGATCTTCCTTCAGCCCTCTTCAAATTCGGAGGCTCTGCTCTTATTGATGCTTTACATGAATTACTAGTGAAACTGTGGGAGCAGGAAACTGTCCCAACCGACTGGAGCCGATCCGTTATTGTTCCCATCTTCAAAGGCGGCTCGCGCTCGGAATGCGGCAACCATAGAGGAATCAGTCTGATCTCCATCGCCCCCAAATTACTAGCCTCCACAATTCTTCACAGACTGACTGGCGCTCGTGAAAGCCAGATTCGTGAGGAGCAAGCCGGGTTTCATCGAGGTCGTGGCTGCATCGACCACATCTTCACCTTGCGTCAGTTGTTGGAGCACCGCCACACATATTGGCGGCCCACCGTTGTCGTGTTCCTCGACATCAAAGGTGCCTTCGATTCGGTTGATCGATGTGCCCTTTGGAAATGTTTACTCAGGAAAGGTGTGCCCGAGAAATATGTAAATATTATCCAAGCATTATATTTGCGTAGCACGGGCAGAGTGAGGGCTTACGGCAAGCTGTCGCCACCCTTTAATATCTCCAGCGGTGTGAGACAAGGATGCCCGCTGTCACCTTTCCTCTTCAACTTCGCTATTGACGAAGTAATGGAGTTTGCATTTACAGGACATGAATTGGAAGGTGTGGAGCTACTCCCAGGAGAACGACTTCTTGACTTGGAGTATGCAGACGACATTGCCCTCATCTGTGACAGCTCCCAGACGTGCCAAGCCGCGCTGGACAGATTAGCACTGGCTGTCAGTCGCTTCGGGCTTTGCTTTGCACCATCGAAGTGCAAAGCGTTCCTCCAAGATTGGTCTGGACCGCCTCCTACGCTGACCCTTGGTGGGGATCAGCTAGAAGTCGTTCAGAAATTCAATTACCTGGGAAGTTGTATCAGCGCCCTTGGGATCGAAGACGAGATCACGAACCGTATAGCGAAAGCTCGGAGTGCTTTTGCTAACCTTCGCCACTTATGGCGGCGGCGCGACATTACTCTCGCCCTGAAGGGTAGAGTGTACAATGCAGCGGTACGTTCGACCTTACTGTACGGTTGCGAAACCTGGCCCCTAAGGTCGGCGGACTTGAAGAGGCTAGTTACGTTTGACCATCGGTGCCTTCGCAGTTTGGCTCACATCTGGTGGGAACACCGCGTGAGTAACGAGCGTGTTCGACGCATTGTTTACGGCCCAGGAA